TCCTCCTCTTCGAACATGAGAACGATGTCGTCTGCATATTCCAGATCGACAATATTTTCTCCACAGGCTATTTGAACACCAGGGTTTTGGAGACCCTCCAGCGTTCGTCTCATTATTTCATCGATCACAAAGTTGAAAAGGAATGGAGAGAGTGGGCATCCCTGACGGACACCGCTTTGTGTGCGGAAGCTTTTGGAGAGCTCTCCCTATATACTCACAAGTCCGGAAGTCTGAGAATACAAAGAACGTATTATGGTCAATCTTGTGTTCGGCGTGACAGGTATTTAACGTCAGGACTGCATCCAGCACCACAAACTTGGTCATGTACTACGCACGCTTCGTTGTCTGGACTACATGTGCCAAGGATATTCTCAACCTCAACACAACTGAACTTAGGTGAAGTTGGTCCAGCTGCTGGAAAATTGTCCGTCGGCTTTACTTGACTTACCACGACCGAAAACGAAGATGATTGAGGAGTTACTTGGTTCACAAGGACACCTACACTAGATGAAAGGAACGACTTGGGAAAAGTCTTCTCTGAACACAGTCGAACACATTTCCTCATGTTCCTGATTTAGCCAGCTCAAGTGCAGATTTGCATGGTACTCTATCTCCACGGTGACCTCGGGAAAGCCAGTCAAATTTGGTTGTGTAGGAAAGGTAGTAACATTCTTGAGAGAATAGTCTAGCAGAGTAGTATCTGTTCACAGCCACACGAATCGTCACGAGTAAGCCGTTAGACAGAGGAATCGCTGTATATGAAAAAGACGGAACCCTCATCGGCAACTTTTCATGTCGTCTTGGCAAGAGGGCATGATATTTTGGAGAACCATCTTGATGGCCAGCCGTGAATCAGAAATTCTCGATCGAAAATGACTTTGTACCCGGACTGTCTTCGAAGATGAGAGTGGATGCTTGCTCTCCACCCTCCAATCCCTTTGAATAATGTGGGGACAATACGCGTAGGTCATCATTCCTGTTTTCAAAAGGTGGCATCCACAGAACGTAAATTCATAAGTCGCTGTTTCACGATGAGGCATTGTAGCTTTTCGTAAGTTCAATGAGCCACGTTCACCCATAGTCATCAGTATTTATGTGGTGACTGTTCAACTGCTAATGTGCGCCCATCGCTGTTTATTTTCTTCCTTGCATCAAGTGTCAGGAACACTCGAGTTCTTCATTTGAAATCATTCTGAGGTGAGACAGCCCATGTGGTTAGAACGTGAATTTACTAACCGGTGGGTCCTTGGTTCGAGCCCGATCTCTGCCTCTCGACTTCCCTCCCCTAGGCTTGAACAACCTGGCAGTATCCCAGCCATCGTGCTTCCTTCTGGTGGCATGGCAGTTAGGCACCGAAACGGTGCTACAGCTGAACGATTTGTTTATTTATTTTTATTTTGTCATGTTTTTATTCCATTTGACATACATCAATTGTAGATATTGTTGACCTGTCACTTCCGGTGCTAGACGTGGTCACCCAATGTACAGCACAGGCCTCCTCGTTCTATCGTCAGTGACGAAGAAGCAAACTCTTGGATCACTATTAACGTCGGCATCCAGCTTCATAAAGCATGAACTTTTTGTTTCCTTTCCCACAGCAACAAAGTTCGGAATTGACTTTTGGAAATTCGCGGTTTCACTGTGCTACAACACAGCGTCAGAAGTAAGCGGGCCGTGCAGATCACCCGTATCTATTTCAGGTATGTCCATTGCTGGACGTACGCCTGGTGTTGCCAGCAACCGATCTCAAAGATCATCTCATAAAATTCGATGTGGTTCTAACCCACGACCAATCCCGTGATCAGGCTCTGCATTATGCTCGAATTTTAAATCCACATTTTAATAACGATGTTTTGGTTACCTCTGTCGGTAAGTTTTATCAATTTCGATTTCGACAAGGTGCCTTCTGTTTAGTACTATCGGTTTGAGTTTTCCCAAGCTCTGGAAAGTCAACAAAAGTGACTTCGTTGGTCAGTTATAGCTTTGCTGTAAAATTCGTGCAAAGTAGCTGATTTCCGTCAATTTTTTCCTACGGATGAACTCCGCCTCAAGGAAGAAAAATGTTCGCCGAGAAACCATTCGCAGGATTTATCTTTTAAAATGGGTTCTCTGTTTAGTGTTGGTAGCAGTAATTATTTTCTCATCGCGTTCTTTTCTATCTTCGCGTTTATATGAGCCAGGCTTTGCACGTCGTGATGAAGACTTGGGTGAATTGGGAGCTTGAAGGAACTTACCGGAAAGTCAGTGGTTCGAACCCGACCTCTACCTCTCGACTCCCCCTGTCTAGGCTTGGGCAATCTGGCAGTATCCCAGCCCTCGTGCTCTCTCCTGGTAGAATGGCAGTTAGACACCGAAAGGGTGTTACAGCTGAGTGGTTTTTTTAATTTTGATTTTTGAAGAAACATGAGTTATATTCTCCGAAGTACTCCTCTGCCACTCACTGTATTTTCGTTGGAAAAACAGCGTATATTTTATGGATACTGGCAAAACTACTAAAACTTTGTTGTTTGTAAAGCCGGGTACGTTAATAAACTCACCTCATTGATCAAGAAGGCGGGTGACTAAAAACATTGACTGTATATCATTCGGAATGCTTGTTTTCAGCTTTTTGTGCTAAAAAACTTGGCTTGACGGAAACAGTTGAGTTATAAAGATGCCAGAATAATACGTCTGGAAGTACCGGACCGAAACGAAATTGGGTCGGGTTTCTTGCTTATGTTGTCGATGTGCTTTGACTAGAATTTCTGGTGTATCCAAATTCTGGACGACAGTGATGTGCATATGGTCTGGACTTCCTGGAGTGATAAGTGTCGAGTGTGGTGTCAAACTGCAATAGGGTGAGTTCAGTTAAACAGGCCTTAACATGAAACATGGATGCTGTTGAAGTTTATTTGAATTCGGAACTACATAGAGGTTTCTTATATAAGATGGCCACTTCTGTACTTTTGTGCATCGAAGGTCTGAAACATCCGGATATCTGACTAAGTTAAAGTTTGAATTGAAGCCAGTCTATGCTGAAAAGCCTAGAAGCACCGTACAGCTGTTTTATCTTTATCTGGAATCATTAGCATTACACATCACGAGACACCAGAGTTGCAGATGCGCGACCTCCCGGCTAGTAGTTTGAACACTTCACCGGAGGTGTTCGGTAGCAATACTGAAGGGCCAGCTCCTCTCCACCCAGCTTATGGATAGTAATGATAATAATAATTGAAACCCTTCAGCTGTAACACCCTTTCTCTGCCTACCTGCCCTGCCACTCAAAGGAAGCGCAATGGCTAAGATGCCGCTGAGATGCAAGCCTAGATAGGAGCAAGTGAGATACCAAGGTCAGGTTCGATCTGCCGACCTCCCGGCCTTTAAGTCAGAGTCTCAGCCACTTAGTTATCGCGAGCTCATTCAGCCAAAAGTCGTTACTTGTTTAATAGCGTGTGGTCTCCTAGATAGTTAGGATCGTCTGATAAAAGTATGCGAAAAAATTGTGAGACAACTGAGGTACTGGGAACAGACTTAATGCGTTTCAGTTCATTCATATTGACTCCTTGGTTTTATATTCGGATAACTCATCGTCCATTGGTTCGGTTTGTTTTATGTTGCTTACGTTTTTAGAAAATAATCCGGGAAACAAGACGAGCGAGTTTCTAGAAGCGGAGAAAGATACACGCATCTTCGATAGTCATGATCATGTTTGCCTTGGTGGTACCTTCGACCGCCTGCACAATGGCCATAAAATCTTACTTTCTACTGGAGCGTTGTTGACAAAACGTAGCATGTTGGTTGGAATTACAGGTGACACAATGCTAAAGAGCAAACACCTAGCTCCTCTCATTCAATCTTTCAATCGTCGTCGCAGTGATATTCAGTCTTTTCTCTTGGATATCGGTTTTCCCAAGTCCAAACTGGAGATAGTCGAGCTTACGGATGCCTATGGTCCACCAGCCTACCGTTCCGAATTTGGCTGCATTGTCGCCAGTGCCGAATCCGTAGATGTAAGTACAGCTTCTCGATTCCCCTGTTTTCAATCATACGAGCGTCTCATTAGTTCGCCGCATGAAGGAGACAACTACCAACATAGTTCTAGCGAGAGATCTGCCTAAAAGGGAGCTCTGCTTGTCCACTTGAAATATGCACATCCTGTAGACACTGTTCAACCTGTTGCCTGAACTCAAGCAGAGGGGTCTTCCAGCTCATGGATTACTGATGTGTTCTGATCTTGAGGTTGCTTCACCTCCACAGAACATAGGGAACTGCAATCCTCGTTGTTGGCTAGTCAACCAAGCTTATTTTCTTAACTAATGTATACCTCACTGTTCTGCTAGCTTTGACGGCAATATTCTTGAGACCCATTCTCTTGCGCCCCACATTATTCCGTTTTTTCTTCTCTGATAGAACTGTCACAAACTCAACGAAATTCGCACTTCCCATGGGCTTAATCCAGTGCGAATCGAAGCAATTGACTTGGTCAATGAACCTCGGTAATTTTGTCGTGTTTCGCGAACCGGACTGGGTCTACTGTGACTTATTGAATGTAAAACAACTGCTTGTGTGTCTCTTTTTCAGGTTAGGCACCATTTGAAGACAGCCTACTTATTTTATACTCGCCATATAAAGCTGTATCATTTTAAGACCATCGTGTTCCTCGTTAACTTTGGAGTATTAGGGGAATTTTCGCAGTTATATTTCGGTTACTGTTGCGACCGGCCGACTCGCGTGGCTCACATACTGACAATATGTACGTCAGTCACTTAATGTCGACTAAGGCAGACATACATTTGGTTTGAATGTTTTCAACCAAGAATTGGATGTTGATTTAAATTTTCCGTTCAATGATTACAGCACAGATGTGACTTTTTCGACGTTAGAGTGCCTCCGACAGGATTCTGAATATGTTTTCCACAATGGCAGAAGTAGCAGTCTGACATGCAACTCAGAGGCATCTCTTGCAGCATCTCGACTCACCTCGGAACGTCGAGACAATACGACGGAATATCTTAACATTGACAAGGGGCAGTATGGATACCACCAACATTTGGCTGGGTAGCCAGCACAAATGAAGACTCCTGTCAACTAGGGCATCTAATATTGCCTGGATTTTTGGTATTAGATATAAAATTTCGTGAAACAGATGAAAAACAGGGGATTCATACCAAATTTAGGCCCAGGTTGATTGCCTTAATTCGTTTTGGCTAGGAGATGAAATTGTGGTACGTTTCAATGGATTTATCCTTATGAACGGCCGAGTTAAGCATTTTTTAGATATGATGTAATGGACATGCATTTAGGCTGTTTCGTTATCTCTTGTTATAGGCGTATGAAAAGATATTGTGGGCTCTGACACTTTGGCAAGTGCGGATATATTTTAATTTCATCACTCGGTGTTTTTTCATGTAGTTGCTCCCAGTATTCGAAAAAGGTACGCAGTATACTCGAGAGTATAATCCTGATGAGTTTACTTTTGCCCATCTGTGCTGGACGTTCAGTCGCTTCGCGTTGCTATTGAAAGCACATTAGTAAATTCTTGCTTCTTTCGGGCCGTGTACTTGACTACTGCATCCAAGCATATTGGACATTTTTTTTTAACTAGGAAGAACCAAATTCACGATACCAAGGTTCATGTAGCAGGGTTCTTACCGTTTTCTGGTGCAGACTAATTAAAGTGAACATCTTAGGTTGGTTTCCCCACGGTTCGTAGGATGTCTGATCGCAATCGCGTCATCCAAGCTCAAGATCATGGATGGAAGTGAGATCGTCCGCGGTGCAAAAGCTGGACTGTCCCAGCATTAAATTATAAGGATGGTATAGAACCCTCTAGATATGCCCGGTACATCCCAGGACTTCAGCTGAATGGGCGTTCTCCAGGCGAGGCTGGCTGACAAAAGCGCGTTCGTATACGATTACACAATTGACCGCAATCACTAGTTTTAGAATACGTTGATTCAACTGAATATTTATACGAATGATCACGCCGACCCATTGATGTTGTACTGACCGTCATCAGTAAGCTCAAAAAAGTGTTGCAAACACTTGTTTGGTGCTCGATTGCTACACGTAGCGTCTTTATCCACAGAAGTTTCTGATGTATTCCCGGACAACGTCCACACGATGCTGTGAATGTCATCCGCGCTGATTGACCTGTGCATCTCACTCAGGGATATCAAAGCTGGTTTATCCTGCAGCTGAGTATACTTCCGCAAAGCAAGCTTTACTGGTGCCCTATAGGTCGTTGAGTTCTCAGCCTCTTTCACTTCAGCAATCTACAAATTCGAGGGGAAGGAGACCGACTGATTAGGAAAGCGGTGAAGTGGAGCATGTTCTGCTTATGCATACGCACAAAGAAGAATATGGCTAAAACAACCCAAAATCATGGTGCTAAATCCTGACTTGTTGGCTGTTGCTCTGTCTGTATGATCTGTCTTCAAAGCAGATAAAACATAAATCCCCAATAAAAGTAGGCCCACATGCACGTGCTTGTTCTGCTACTGGCTAATGACAGTGGTGATCCATAGCTTTACAGGGAATGGTGAGGTGTTTTCGGTGACCGTTTTCAAGGATGACATTCTCATTTCATGTAAGATGGCTCAGTGGTTCGAGCGCAAATTTACTGACCGGAAGGCTCGTGGTTCGAACCCGATCTCTGCCCCTCGACACCCCTGGTAGGTTTGGGTAACCCAGCAGTATCCCAGCCCTCGTGCTTCGTCCGGGTGACATGACAGCTAGGCACCGAAAGGGTGTTATAGCTGCATGATATTTTTTATCCTCATTTCACGCGTCCCAGAACTTNAGCAATTGACTTGGTCAATGAACCTCGGTAATTTTGTCGTGTTTCGCGAACCGGACTGGGTCTACTGTGACTTATTGAATGTAAAACAACTGCTTGTGTGTCTCTTTTTCAGGTTAGGCACCATTTGAAGACAGCCTACTTATTTTATACTCGCCATATAAAGCTGTATCATTTTAAGACCATCGTGTTCCTCGTTAACTTTGGAGTATTAGGGGAATTTTCGCAGTTATATTTCGTTTACTGTTGCGACCGGCCGACTCGCGTGGCTCACATACTGACACTATGTACGTCAGTCACTTAATGTCGACTAAGGCAGACATACATTTGGTTTGAATGTTTTCAACCAAAAATTGGATGTTGATTTAAATTTTCCGTTCAATGATTACAGCACAGATGTGACTTTTTCGACGTTAGAGTGCCTCCGACAGGATTCTGAATATGTTTTCCACAATGGCAGAAGTAGCAGTCTGACATGCAACTCAGAGGCATCTCTTGCAGCATCTCGACTCACCTCGGAACGTCGAGACAATACGACGGAATATCTTAACATTGACAAGGGGCAGTATGGATACCACCAACATTTGGCTGGGTAGCCAGCACAAATGAAGACTCCTGTCAACTAGGGCATCTAATATTGCCTGGATTTTTGGTATTAGATATAAAATTTCGTGAAACAGATGAAAAACAGGGGATTCATACCAAATTTAGGCCCAGGTTGATTGCCTTAATTCGTTTTGGCTAGGAGATGAAATTGTGGTACGTTTCAATGGATTTATCCTTATGAACGCCCGAGTTAAGCATTTTTTAGATATGATGTAATGGACATGCATTTAGGCTGTTTCGTTATCTCTTGTTATAGGCGTATGATCCTATGTACTTGAAAAGATATTGTGGGCTCTGACACTTTGGCAAGTGCGGATATATTTTAATTTCATCACTCGGTGTTTTTTCATGTAGTTGCTCCCAGTATTCGAAAAAGGTACGCAGTATACTCGAGAGTATAATCCTGATGAGTTTACTTTTGCCCATCTGTGCTGGACGTTCAGTCGCTTCGCGTTGCTATTGAAAGCACATTAGTAAATTCTTGCTTCTTTCGGGCCGTGTACTTGACTACTGCATCCAAGCATATTGGACATTTTTTTTTAACTAGGAAGAACCAAATTCACGATACCAAGGTTCATGTAGCAGGGTTCTTACCGTTTTCTGGTGCAGACTAATTAAAGTGAACATCTTAGGTTGGTTTCCCCACGGTTCGTAGGATGTCTGATCGCAATCGCGTCATCCAAGCTCAAGATCATGGATGGAAGTGAGATCGTCCGCGGTGCAAAAGCTGGACTGTCCCAGCATTAAATTATAAGGATGGTATAGAACCCTCTAGATATGCCCGGTACATCCCAGGACTTCAGCTGAATGGGCGTTCTCCAGGCGAGGCTGGCTGACAAAAGCGCGTTCGTATACGATTACACAATTGACCGCAATCACTAGTTTTAGAATACGTTGATTCAACTGAATATTTGTACGAATGATCACGCCGACCCATTGATGTTGTACTGACCGTCATCAGTAAGCTCAAAAAAGTGTTGCAAACACTTGTTTGGTGCTCGATTGCTACACGTAGCGTCTTTATCCACAGAAGTTTCTGATGTATTCCCGGACAACGTCCACACGATGCTGTGAATGTCATCCGCGCTGATTGACCTGTGCATCTCACTCAGGGATATCAAAGCCGGTTTATCCTGCAGCTGAGTATACTTCCGCAAAGCAAGCTTTACTGGTGCCCTATAGGTCGTTGAGTTCTCAGCCTCTTTCACTTCAGCAATCTACAAATTCGAGGGGAAGGAGACCGACTGATTAGGAAAGCGGTGAAGTGGAGCATGTTCTGCTTATGCATACGCACAAAGAAGAATATGGCTAAAACAACCCAAAATCATGGTGCTAAATCCTGACTTGTTGGCTGTTGCTCTGTCTGTATGATCTGTCTTCAAAGCAGATAAAACATAAATCCCCAATAAAAGTAGGCCCACATGCACGTGCTTGTTCTGCTACTGGCTAATGACAGTGGTGATCCATAGCTTTACAGGGAATGGTGAGGTGTTTTCGGTGACCGTTTTCAAGGATGACATTCTCATTTCATGCAAGATGGCTCAGTGGTTCGAGCGCAAATTTACTGACCGGAAGGCTCGTGGTTCGAACCCGATCTCTGCCCCTCGACACCCCTGGTAGGTTTGGGTAACCCAGCAGTATCCCAGCCCTCGTGCTTCGTCCGGGTGACATGACAGCTAGGCACCGAAAGGGTGTTATAGCTGCATGATATTTTTTATCCTCATTTCACGCGTCCCAGAACTTTCTAAAAGCGGCTGTGTTGATCTCAGCGAGGTACGTCACAACAGAAGAGAGTGGGAGGCATAAGGTTTACTTGACTTTACACAGCCATTGCATGGAGGTATTCACACAGCGTATGTTCATCCCATGAACCCCTTGAATTTGCTCCGTATTTCAGCTTTTCAAGCGAAATCGAAAAGCTATTGTCTACCTAAATTTGCTGCCTTTGGCGGACTGAAGGTTTGTCCGTTTGCTTTTTCAGAGGGGGGGTTAAAGTCACTGGCTGTATAGGACTACTGTTAACATGACTCGGTTTGAGCTTTGTGGATCTATTCAGTGAAACCTTGCTTTTGTAATTTTTAGTCTGAAGAGTTAGCTTTACATGGTTATTTTACGTTTACGTTTTTACTTCCCACGTCGTACCGAGATAGTTGACAAATAGATCCATTTTATTCATTCTGAATACCCGACAGGTTAGGCTGCGTAGCCATTGGGATATACAAGCAAACTATCTAATACAGTTGCATAATTTGGGTTTCCTAGGTGCAGCCCGGAAAGCTTGCCAGACGAAGTTTATGAACCGAAGCTGAGTTCATCAATACATCGCTTCAACCTGTTGGGCACGCTTTTGAGACCCGTTAACGTCGACGCAGTCAACCATCGTAAAGCCCGTCTACCCTATGTGATCGGTTTGGCAGGACCCTCTGGTGCTGGTAAATCCGCACTGGCTCGTAGGTTGGCTGATGTCAGCCCTTCGGTTCATGTGGTTGACTGTGATAAACTTGGGCACGAGGCGTACAGGTAAGTGAGCATTTGTATCGCTATAACGCCTCGTCGTGTTATTGTTGGTAAAATAACCCGTTCAATGAACCACCAGACAGGGTTTGTTCGATTAACCTATTCCCAAGTAACTAAGCGAAGCCGAATGATAACAGAGGGACGGTGATTGCTCCCATCCCTCAAATGATGGCCAACCATCCAAGTTATTTTTGCACGAATAGCCTAAACTGAATTCTTCTTGGAACAACCACAAGTGCGGTTATATGCAACTGTCTACGTTGTTATGGATTTCACTTGACAATTATGCCTCTGCTGTAAACAAAAACGAAAGAATATGAAGCAAGAAAACGCTGTTGTAAATTTGTGGTGGTAATGTAAAACGCGAATGGGACTCATTTGAAGCCCGTTTGTCCTTTATTCTCTAAACTTGCCGCACAATTGGTATTCTGATATGCTGCTGCTTTCAAGGTTGGTGGTCAGCCCAACTCTCCTTTCGCCCTTCTGTGACTCAGGTTTTCAAACTCTCCGAGTTCCATCTGTCGTATTCCGTATCCACACACCATATTGGGCCTTTTCGAACTTAGGCCCTTACTTGCCAGTGAGAACGTCGTGTATGAGTTTTCTCACCTGACTATGCCGCACACAGAGATCGCCTTTTTCATTCTTTATCGACCCCATAATCAAAACAGAAGGGCTGTCAGTACCATTGATACCCCCTCCGACAGCAGCATTCCAAACTGATAGTATGTGCTATATATTGAGTAGTCGTTATATCAGCAAACGGATTGTTTCGCTCATGTTATCTTCATTCACCACTTGTCTGTTTTACTTAAGCCCAAACTAGACGGATTGCATTTGCATATCAATTCGGTTTTCACGGTCGTGGGCCGTCGAAGAGTTTTCAGCAGCCTTGCGAGTAGTTTCCCTCATGAAAATATACTACAATATCTCCAATAACCTGCTAATTGAAACATGAGGCGGCTTTTGTGCATTATATTCAGTTGAAGAATACCATAAACTACAAATGTGGTTGAAAACCAGATTGGTCGAAAAAAGTTACTTCGCTCATCATGAAAATTACTACAATATCTCCAATAACCTGCTAATTGAAACATGAGGCGGCCTTTGTGCATTATATTCAGTTGAAGAATACCATAAACTACAAATGTGGTTGAAAACCAGATTGATCGAAAAAAGTTACTTCGCTCAGGTCATGGGTTTTGTGGCTGAAGCCTGCAGGAGCCCACTGATTTCCCCAAGTACTATAACTACTCCCTTAAATCTAAGTAGCAAGAGCTCAAAACCAAATGTTTGGGTGGTCTCCTTACTTGGTGTTCTGATGGTTATTCAGAAACACCGCTAGTTATCGTTGTTTGTGGCTTAGCCTTGAGGCTAACATTTGCATGCACGAAGTTTTACGCTTTTTGCGAATGTGTCCTCAGCACGCACCTCTAAAGCTTCCAACCCTTCAGCTTAATTTGCTTTTCGTTATCCGTTATTTTTCGGTGTACAAGACCTGACACTCCCTGTTACAAGGCACTCCTGAACCATTTTGGATTCGATGCCATCGCATGTCCGGAACCACCACATGAAATCGATCGAGCCAAACTGGGAAAGATTGTTTTCGCCGATGCACAACGTCTTATTGAATTAAATCAACTAGTTTGGCCGGAAATCGAGCGTCAGGTGCAAGAATTCTTAGTGCAACTGGAAGAAAAGTCGTCTAACTCGAAGAGTCCTGATTCCAGACCAATTGTTATTTTGGATGCAGCTGTCCTCTTACAAGCCAATTGGGATCGATTTTGTGATGAGGTGAGTATGAGCTAGTTGGTCTCTCCTCGGAAGTCTGTTGATTTTTATCCATTTTCTCGTTGTTGTAACCGGGTATACGTTCAATTCTTGATGCCTGGACGATGCACACCTCATGAGAAATGTGAAAAATGTCACTCTTTGCCTTTAATTGTGGGCCTATTTGAGTTGTTTATTCAATTTTTTTTTGTTGCTTCGTAGTTCATAATTTTTTTTCTAAAGTCAAAGTCAGCCGCATCCTCATCATCATTTGTGACCCAGTGATAACCCATGGGGGTGTGATATCGAGGCCCGTTGTTAGAGAAACTGTTTGATCACATAGGGGCGATAGCAATCCTTCCTCTTCGAGGTCTCTCAGATAAAGCCACTGTTGCATATGCAAAACGAAAGCTTTTCGACATTCATTTTTAGCACTACTGTTTCCATCTGTCTGGGCTTTAGACTTACTGTGCACTTCTGTGAGGAAAATAATGCATAGACAGTAGTGATAGTGGTTTGGAGCTACCCGTTTGTTGGATGGGTACATTTTTCTATGTATGATATCAACTCTCCTGCTCTCATATTGCTAACGAATTTGAAGTACGAAGGCTTGAAATGTCGCGGTTGTGCATGGGTTGGACTGTTCATCTAAGCTTATTGGAAAACTATTCCACTTCACATAGTGTTCAGTTTGAATTGTGCAACTGAATGTATATCTATGGTACTTTTGTTAGTCCTATGTCTGCTTTTTCCCATATAATTTCTGGCAATTGTAGTAAGTAGGAGAACAAAATTTTACGTGAGCATCAGTATTCTTGCTTGTTCATCATGCCTGTTGCCGGCCACTAATACTCTGTGTGAACTGTAGCTCTTCCAAGCGTGTTGTTCTGGAAAAGCGATTCTTCATTATATAATTTTAGTTGGGGAGGCAAAAATCTTCTGAGATATTCGAAATCTAGCTGATTTGTGGGTGAAACAACCGCCAAGACTAGTGATTCGCTCGTACCCGGAAGAGGTCGCTTAAACTGTTGTTTGATAGTCCACCTGATCGAATATTATTCACTTGAATTCTAGATGGTGACCCTCGAACCATTGGTAAACTCGAAGTTTTATTAAGACACATCCGCACAAAAACGATAAGGAACTCCAAACTAGTTCGCATCCTACCAAGTATCGAGCCACAATTACGGTTAGGCGGTTATCCAATTTGTTCACCTTCGTGTGGTGAAGTGAGGTGATAAACGTGTACTGGTGTAACGGTGATGCTACTGATGGGGGGCACGCGAGCAGTATGTGTTGTTCGTAGAATTTCGCTTTGCGTCAATTGAAAAAAGGAGATCAGTTGAGGAATTTGTGGAGCCACTTTTTAACAATTGCTTGGATTTGACCGGCGAATGAGTGGAGTCAATGAATCTCCAGGAAAGTTCAAGAAGTCTCGTTCGGGAGAAGATCTGTGTCCAGTTTTTGTAACTAAGATGCAGATTAGAGTTTTGCTTCCCTGTTCAATGGTCTGTTGGCATTTCCGAATAAATAACTCCGCAGCGAAGGCCTTCTTCCTTTCACTGGTAGTCGTTTTTGAAAGTGGCGCGCCTCTTACTGTAGTAATCATGGGAACATCGGCCTAATCCTGACCACAGGGAGTTCTTGAGTGTCAAATTTTGTACCTCGTCGTGGAGGCACGCTAAGCCTTGGTGTACGAGCAACAAGCACGATTCCGGTTTGGGTGATCTTTTTCAGCTACAGCTACAGGACAACCGTTTACCTATAAATGGCCCGCAAAATTGGTTTTCTTTGTTTTGAATAGCACTTCACTTTTCAACCGGATGTAAAGTTGGAAATATAATCCGTTATGGTCTTGGATTTGCATACGGGCGGAATTTCAAAGGCTTCCCTACAAAAAGTGCTGTTCACCATGGGTTTAAACTATGTTCATTGGTCTAAGCATACTCTGTGTGTTAGGTTCTCTACTGATCAGTCAATCAACCCTGTCAGTTACACACGGAACTGAGAAGACAAAAAGCCTTGAGGAAATTATGCTGCAGCAACTGAATAGCCAATATCGAGATTCGAAGAATCAAGAATGGAATAGAACAAAACAGTCCAATGAAAGGCTGAAATAGAGAGAGAGAAATGTTGAGCAATATGTTCTTTAGGGGGACTGCCTCCTAACACTGGAAATGGAATGAATGGTTAGTTAACTGGAGAACGCTTGGGACCAGTCCAAAAGTCGTCATTCCAGAAAGGTTTTGAAAAACAGTCGGTTGCTTGGCTATTTTTAGATTTTAGCTTCGTCAGGCCCAGTGACTTGGTTACAAAAGCAGGCTGCAACACCCACTAATGGAAGACTAAATCAGTGTTAGGTGTCAGTTAACAGTTTTTTTAGTTAGTGAGAATGAATGGGTGTTGCGGCTGGGGAAACTTGCGTGAATTCGGACACAATTGGTAGTCTGGTTCTTCTAGTTGAGCTGAAGACTACTTTTGAGCATGATTCGAATTTTTTCCCTCGATCTGATGGATAAGTTGTGCCACAGAGATCCAGTTAGAGAGAGCTTCTGGATGAATTTTGGCCGGGTTGAACTTTCTACTCTCGACCTCAACCACTTCCGTTACTGACTTCTGATTGATAATTTTGCACCGCCATGTATCTGCTTATTCGAGAGAGAGAGAGCAGTTTTCCACACACTCACAAGCTCTACGCTCCCTATTTTTACTCCATTCTGTTCTGCTCGCGCTGGGATGCTCGGTTATTTCTGCTGCCTGGGTCCTCGGTGAATATGGCGCGAATCGTAGCACCGGTTCTGAAACTTGCATTTTTTTACATTAGCAAGGTCGTAATCCGTTTCATCAGCCCTGATTAATTTTGCACTGTATCTGCTTATTCGAGAGAGAGAGAGCAGTTTTCCACACACTCACAAGCTCTACGCTCCCTATTTTTACTCCATTCTGTTCTGCTCGCGCTGGGATGCTCGGTTATTTCTGCTGCCTGGGTCCTCGGTGAATATGGCGCGAATCGTAGCACCGGTTCTGAAACTTGCATTTTTTTACATTAGCAAGGTCGTAATCCGTTTCATCAGCCCTGATTTTCACTTGATCCCTTCCGGGGACAGTGTTGCGGCTGGACTAAGCACAGCTAACGTATTGTTGGCGTACGCAAACGAGGAATAAACAACCCAGAAATGCATACGAATATCAGACGCTGATCAGAGGCTTGGTGATGTACCGACATGTACCAGACACAGGACACAGAAGAGACTTAGATATTGACATTTGGAGGTGAAGATAACTGTTCGCGCCACAGCCACCAAGCACCGAGGTGATAGAAATCGCCAAGTATCCTAATTTGGATCAAAAGGAACAGAATAGAGTAGAGTGGGACGAAACAGAGCAGAATAAAAGAGATGGAGCAACCTGGCATGTGTAGAGGTGTATCGGATCGGCTGAGTCGATACTTGGTGGTGCCTGGTTGTCAGTCAGGAAAAGTTACAAATGATCGGTTTGGATGCATCGTAGAAAGTCCAACCTGACAAAGTTTCATGCTACAGCTCCCCGTGACCCAATTTTCCTATCAAGAACTCACCCACACAGGCCGACAAACCCTAACGATGTTCAACTGAAGTCTTGCGAACCCCTAATCTTAGCTTTTTCCGTATCCCATCGATCCTAGTGCCCACACCAACTGAAAAATCCCGATCTACATCCAACAGTGACTTAGCTTTATATTAGTAGACTATCTTGCTGAGCGGCGAGGTAGCCCAGTGGTTAGGGCACGAATTTAACGACCGGGAAGTCCTTGGTTCGAACCCGACCTATGCCTCTCGACTTCCCTGTCTAGGTTTGGGCAGCCCGGTAGTATCCCAGCCGGCGTGCTTCCTTCGGGTGGTATGGGGGCTAGGCACTGAAAGATTGTTACAGCTGAGCGATTTCCGAAACATTTGCTGAACAATGGATAAATTTATTGCTGAGCAACTTCTCGCTTTGACGAACACAAAGTGAGTTTTAAGCGAGTGTCAAGGCAACTAAAAAATTAGTGCTGATTTGCTTAAAGTGTTCTCGTTGGTTAGTTTGGGTGATTTCGGCCCAAGACTCGTCCGTTGGAAGAAAACTAGCCTACGTTTGATTCGGGTTTGGGGCCGCTCTAGGGTACTTCAGCTGAATATTCCTTTTGGTCGTTGTTTTCGAATTTTGTTGGTATGTGGGTCACTAAGTCTTAAGACAACTAATTTGAAGAATCGGAAAACTATTTGGTTTTTGATCGGTTTAGACTTCACACTCTTAACCCAAACCACTTTCTTGAGGCTCCTCTTCACTGATATTATTAAACTGCCACATGACTATTCGTCCAGTTTAAAACTGCACATGACACGCTTGCCAGTTCTATGCCCTGTATTCTATTCATACTGTCTCGGTCACCAGTGGCCGTAGTGGGCGCATTAAGTGTATGTGAGATGAATGAATGTCAGTAGTCACAATAGTTGACCCACTGTTTACTTACCGTTCTCCAAAGTGAATTTGTAAGCGACTCCTAGAATTTCATTCATTAGTCACTCCTAAGGCCAGTTTTCCTTGACTAAGGTTAAGCCTCGTGTATTTCGTTGAGTAATACCCATCCCCAGTGCGAAGCTCAGTTGATTTGAATGGTACGCACTGAAGCAGATCTGTTTTGTTTTATGAACTCGCCTATCTAGATTTTTTTTGTGCGCTTTCAGACACTGTACTATGCTCTACTATCACATTTACCGGTACTGCAGGTATGGATCGCAATTTTAACGAAAGATGAAGCTCACCGTCGCATACGCGAACGAGGACATTTGTCATGTGAAGTGGCTGCGGAACGGTTGGCGCGTCAGGCAGGAGCTATTGCGGAGGCGACCGGTGGTTTGGACTGGTGGGATGTAGGACAGGTTGATACTGGTTGTGGCCCCGTCGGCCGGGCACACGTAGTTCTCAGTACGCAGTGGGAACCAGAATGCTCTCAAAAACAAGTGGAGAAAGCCTTCAAGCTACTGAAAGAGCGTCTGTCGTAAACTGTCACTGACCCAGCTATTGAATTTTCTCATCTGTGAGACTAAGCTAATCCACGAAGACGTCTATATTGGTTTTTCCAATATATCGTCCTCTCACTGTTAGGCTGTTCTCAATTTTGATAACCTTATTTTAATGTCCAAATGGTTTTCAGACCAAAGGCGACGTTGCTGGTTTATTTCTTAAGGTATCTGCCGTCGCTTTGTGCGTAATAATCATTCCTGGCACTTGGACCTCCATTTTGATTTCATTGAACATATTTGGTCAGCACATTGTAACCGTATATGCACCATGTTTCTATGACCTGTCTGCAAATGTCCCCGATTCTTTGTGCCAGAATAAACTATCTTTTGCGACAACGTCTACACGTCCTGTATACAGCTGTGTCCGAGGTTTGGGTCGTCATTTCCACATTTACGTGCGTTAACTTATTCTGTTACAGTGTAATCACGGCTTATGCATATGCCAATATATATGAACCGCCTAACAAACTCAAGCTCATCATTCAAAAGTTTTAGAGAGGCATAAGGGCATGAGGATCTTGAACTAAGGCTTTGCTATTTGAAGGTGTAAAAGCCATGCCATGATATTACCTCCGATATTGTGGCTAAAGTACTTTGCGTGGACAGATATTCATCAAACAGTCATGAAAACTGTCGTTCGCATAATCCCAATTCATTAATCTCTCTCCAAGCGTGATTTCGATACATAAGTTCACGGTTTCCTAGAGTGACGTCGACGACAAAATTGAACTTCACCAGTTATCAGGATGCTTCTGGACAGCTCAGTGTACAACCTAAACCTATCGAAGTATGGAAATAAAGTGTGCTAAGAATGTTCACAATCTTTAAGGGCACATCCTCTAATCTGTCAACAGAGTCAAGGGCTCCTTCAAAGTCGAAGAAAACCGCGATTGTTGGTCTACGGTAGAAATGACGCTGCTCAAGTAATTGACGTAATGCAAAGATATGACCAATTCATCGTCTGCTAGATCCTGCTTAGTGTTCTCGGACATACATCCTGCGTGCCAGAGATAAGCGTCACAATATACGGGAAGCCGGTGGCCGTGTTGCGACAAACGTGAGACATCCCTATAATTAAGGCGCGAACTTACTGACCATAAGTTCCGTGGTTCTAGTCCAACTTCAGCACCTAAGCTGCTCCTGCATTGGCTCGGGCGACCTGGCAGTATCTCAGCCCTCGTGTTTCTGGTGACATGGCAACCATATCCATTGGTTGGCCCCCATAACTGAAATAGTCGGTCCTGGTTTCTATCTTGAGCACAGGTACGACCTGGCTCTCTGAATCTTATTCCAACTTAATCAAAGCGGAACACATTAATTCTCTTCCAGCGGCAAACAACACTAGAGGAAGCTCACCGGGTCTAACAGGCCGATAGCGCCCCAATATAGAGACAGGCGTGTTGGTACTTCATTAGTACTTGCTTATTCTTGTGTGCATCCACCAGAGTTTGAGTACTCGTATAATGCTATGAGAAAGGTGCAGCATGGTGAGTCTGTATTCTAGTCGTAGTGACCTGTCTGTTCTTCTCTGATAGGTAACTGATGACGCACAACTAGACCAACAAACAACACCAAAGATGAATTGCAATAGCGATATTTTGACGGGCGTGGCTGATTTTCGGTTACGTATGTTTAGGAAAGCCAATCAAACTGCATCGTGTGTTCGTCGGTGCACGACGGTGTCCGTGTGATCCTGGCACGCTGCATATTCAGAGACCGATAAACTACCGTAAATAAATTACTTGTAGTCGGCATGTGTATCCGCTTGAAATAAACAACTTCACTTCATCTAAACACAGTAGGACGGAATTCCACTTATTGACTAATCAAACTTCCTCACAGCTCCCTAGTTAACGTATTTGCCGGCTACACCGTCTTTTGTACTCTTTGTCTTGCACCGACGACTTGGTCAAGTTATTCAGGGATAATTAGCTTGTTGATTCCAGATCTTTACCCATCAATCGGGGAAATGTAAAACAACAAAGCCGCGATTGCTGGATTTATCAGACAGGCCTGGTCAGCAACCGCGCCAGACTCACCAAATACACATCAATCTTCATACGGCAAATCTCTTTTGGATCAAAACATGACGGTTGATCTCTGTCTCACTCGATATAGGCCCAAATTCGAAGTCGATGGTCTGTCACATGGATGTTGTTTGACACAGTACCATCGCACAATATATTGCAATATAGTTGGTCTTTACCGTAATTCTGTTTACTTGCAATGACGCATTAACATGTCGAGCTCCACAGGAAACACATGCCTATCCAAAGTGATTATCCACATGAAAAGAAAGGTACGACTCTCACCCTGTAGAGCCCCTTACAACATAACGCAATACTGAAGTGTACCGTTTATAAATAAAATATGTAAGTATCTAAGTAATTCATTCTGAATGGCACCATAATATACACTACTGATCAAAAGTGCACTTGTGATACTCGTCCAAAAATATACACAGACAAGTAAATCGCTTGAATGTATATGGGGTGGATTGCATGTTCATGTGGAGATTTCTACCGATTTCTGGTTGGTTGACTGTATGCACTCTTGAACATCATCGCACCAGTGTGCTATTTTAAATTCTGGACCTTTGAGCATCAAGAATATATCCACCGAATACCTCAGTCGATTTCCCCAACCCTGGTTACTGTCATGTGTTAGCTGGATACTCTGTGAAGAGAAAGATCACTTGTGTCGTTGAGCTTGGAAATAATATTCTTTGATCTTCCAGCTGAATCCCAATAGCTGGACACCGCGACGAACTTCTTTGCTAGACTGGTGATCAAGGTAAACATGTGTTATCCCGAAATTTATTCAGTTCACACGTTTTTAATGGGCACTTATCACCAATCAACTTAGCATCCGTGAGTGGTTTTCAGGTGGTGCACTAAATATCCACCAGCTCAACAGTTCGGGCGATCGGGATACAGCTTCAAAAACATGGGAGAAAAATCTCCATCAGAGTCTGGGAAACAGCTTACCTTAATGGCGTAAAAACACTATGTGGTCGTCATTGTTTGATGCACCCAAACATCTCACGATGAAGTGATGCCACTGGCTGAATGGAATGTTTGTAGAGTGGATACAAACAGGCAGTCCAAAGACCACTTTTCCAATCCGGGAAACCCGAGGCTAGATTTTACTTGGCACCCATCGAGCATCCCACTGTGAGCAGCTTTACAAGCAGATTAGCTTTCTGAGACATGTGCATATCAATTTAGTTTTCGTGTGAGACCCACATGAATCCCTCCTGAGTCCCTCGTTTGTGATATTCTTCTTCAACTGAATGTATCGAACCAGCCCGCCTCATGTTTCGGTTGCTATCAGATATCGTATTGCAATGTATAGATGTAACACTCTACTCATAAGATTGCTGAACAAAAACGTCATAAACGAGGCGTTCAGGTGAATTTCCCGTGAAAACCAAATTGGGATACAAATGAGTGTACTGGTCGGATTTGGTGCAATCTAGATTCAAGCGAAACATGATGATGGAAACTCGGGGACTGCGCCTACTTGATGAGCCCCAAGAAGGGCGAAGCAGGGCAGTGCATTGTCGAAGATAGGTTCCTATCCTCATGTGTGCGCGCATATCTCTCGAGTGGACGTGCAACCCAAGCAAACGAACCACAAGGCCCACTAAGCTAAGTGATCGGTGATTGTTTAACTCCGAATGACATTGTTCATAGCCTTTCGGTTGTTTGAAGTTCGGTAGAAACTTAAGGAATTAAGAAGAGGGAAGGACTCATCTGTCATTCGTATGTTCTGATGGCTATCGCAGAATTCGGCATAACTGACATTTGATGTGATCTTTTATATCAGAAGCTAGCAACTGAATCCAGTTTATCATAACCAGTCTATTGCTACCCCAGTTAAGGGAAGAAATTCTCACGCAAAATATTTTATGTTCGTCTAGAGTTTCAACTTACTAGTTGGCTGTTGCCAGAATACCTAACTATCGTTGGCAAAGATAAACAACCAAACTAGGGTCTCCGATAAACCATCATCATTTTCTGATGCAGCTAACCACACACGATTCGACTCATTTTCATACCATATTTAGAGGCATTAGTGAACTAATGCATCAGCTCCTCACATCCGTATTTCTGAATCCCAGTATGATTGGATACAATTTACCATGATATAGTCCGTCTCGAGGAGACTGGACCTATTTAGAGGAGTGAACTAATGCATCAGCTCCTCACATCCGTATTTCTGAATCCCAGTATGATTGGATACAATTTACCATGATATAGTCCGTCCGGAGGAGACTGGACCTTACCGTGGTGTGACGGTTTGCGCACCTCAGCGATCCGTTGAGCTATACTGGAGAGTGTCCCGCGACACTCACAGAGTCTCTCATACCAGGTTGGTCAATGGTTAGAGGTCTGACGAACACAGTCTCCTGGCCCTCCAGGTTGGGGGTTGGAACATGTGGCGACTTGTTCCGTAGAAATGGTAATGCATTTGCATTTCCCGCCAAACACCGCTGCCTTGCAGTTAGGCTTTTGAGCCAAAGGCTTTGGTTGAGGACCCTAATCGTCCTCCTCCTCCTGTCTAGGTGTGGGCGCCCTGGCAGCATCCCAGCCCACGTACAACCATGAATAGCACATACACAAAT